ACCCGGGTACAGGAGAACTTGGACTGTCTGCAGTGTTTAGTGCACTGTGCTAAGTATCTCCTTGTGTGAACTACGGAAGGATACTGGACGCGTATAATCAGCGGAAACGAACGCAACCACGCATAACACGAAAACTACAAATGCCAATTCACAAATCAATCTCTGGTATCTTCTGTTTCTAGGACTGCAGGATTTCTAGACTACCTCGCACGCAGCTGGTGTGACAGCCACTAGACTAGAGCCTTTCTGTGGCTTAGTGGTTGTCCACACAGTTTCATAATCTCGACATACACGAGTTCCAAGTCAGCTACAAGCAATCTGGTCTGTACCAGGCCACTCTGCGCTGATTTCGTCAATATGGGCCCCATACAATCAGAGAGCAGAAGTAAACTAAAGAACGCCATACTGTCCAGCAAAAACCGCTCAAAAAACAATAACCGTCGGAGTTGGTTTGCGACGTCTTGATTTATTTCTCTGTGCAAAGTGTGGTAACAAGTCCCGTCTCTATTCCATTGGAGAAAGTATTTATGAAAAGATCACGTACGCTGGTAATGTCTCCCGAAATCCAACATTCCAACATTACAAATAGCTCCTCCCTGGAACCCAAGACAACATCAGAAACCCTCTTTAATTACAACACACACAAGCCGATCTTTGTTAGACTCTTTGTGTGCAATCCGAATGAGGGTAACCAGCCAGCTATTTCTAGAGAACGCACTCTTTCTCCCTTTCTATTTCAGTCAATCTTATGCACATCTGGCATTGATAGCAACAGTATGGAAGGCTTTATTAAACAAGATTGATATCACAAGCTTTTAAAATATCACACCCAGCCACGTGACAGATTTACAACGAAACGGCTCAAATAAAACAAATGTAGTATGTTGAAGAGACGAATTTCACTTCAGCGGTTAAGTGCATGGGTTCAAGACTAAAGAAGCTTCAGTAGCTTGCTAGGTAGCAAATTAAGTTAAAGAGAATTTCCCCGGCTCTTTGGCTTACTGGGTAAATGGTCCAACGACACGTTTGTATATCCTTCTACATTCAGTGTCTGAAGTGATCAATACTTCTTCCTTTTCATCGTCTCCTTCAGTTATTCAATAAAGTTTTGGGATAGATGCAAGCAGCTGTGCGCTATTTCTAATATGTTGTTTTAGCCAGTCTTTACTCCTTTATATGTGTTCTTGATGCAGTAACTCCATCTTTTGAGTGACTAAAATCCTTTGCTCTGTGTTTATTATAATTTGTCATCATAGCTCTCAGGATTAAACGGTACCAGAGCATTATTTATCAAGCCCATAGTATTCTAATGTCTTCATTGTTTTGTTTTTATCTCTTCTATTGTTGAGATCTGACTTGGTGGACATAAATCTATCTATGTATCATTAGTGCTGTTTTTATCCTAGTCTCTGATAAGCCTTTACACATCACAGATTAATTTCTCTATCATTATTCTTCCATCTGAAGTGAAGACAGACCTAAGATCAGGGCTACTCAACTTGCGGCCTAAACTTGAGGCCTAGCAAGTGGCTTGTAGATCACCTGACAAATGCATTGCATTAATGATCTTCCTGTGCTCGGACTGGTTTCTGGCATGCAAGGATCCATAATTTTCAAAATGTTGGTCCCTGAGTAAATATGAATGACCCTGCCCTAGATGAAGGATCAATCTTCTTCTTTTTGGAGTCTATGCTGTGCAGCACTAGTAGCCATGTTCATCCACAGCCTTCTGCCTCGTGTACTTTCAATCAATTCTGAAACAGATAACCTTTCATACCATGATGGCAAACTGCTCCGCACCTTCTCTCTCGGTCTCCCTCTTTCTCCCTCCAACTTTCCAACCATCGTGATGTACACCAGTTCTCTCATTCTCATGACCAAATAATGGTGTGATTGGGGCTTGCAAAATCTACACAATACATCTACTTCCTACCGACCACATCATTCATCTAGAAGCAAACTGGTCTACAAAAGTATTGGGGTTCACACCATCTACACAATACATCTCAAGGCATAGGAAAGGCCCTTCCTTACTTTATGGCCATGACTACTGAGGTAACCTTATATCCCCCCCCCCCCCCCCCCCCCCCACCGAAATAAAAATGATTGACACATTCCATTTATGGGGACAGCTTTTATCGAGTTGATCTTTGCTCTCTAGAAAGTTGCACCTTCCTGCTGACGAGATTATGTTTTTCTGGATAGTGGACCGTTGCAATCAAAACACTGCGAAGGTAGCAGGGTCAAAGCTGCCAAATGTATCGGTCATTATCCTGCACCAATATATCGCAACCACAATACACGCTGCTCCTACCAACAAAAAACGGCATAGTATCCTAAGCTGGAAAAGAGTATTTAAAAAAAAAAAAAAAACAGTCCATGACAGGGGAACAGAACAATCCAAAAGAATTCACAGCCATTGAAAAAAAAAAAACACAGCTGCTTTTCACCAGTTTGAAAACAGAAGTCCATTAACTCACAAATTTCCAAACTCAAGCTATCTTCACAAAACAGGCACTAGAACGTAAAGTAAATTTTAACAAAATACCATATTCCTGATATTTCATAATAGCACAGAAATAGGTTCTTTTTTAAGAGACCTTGCCCAGAACATGAGAAAATGGCTTATCACCTCATTATGCCATGACTGAATACATGAGGCACATTAGCCCTCTACACCCTATGGAAACGTGTCTCATGTATTTTTATGGTGACACAGACAATTGGCAGAATTAAAAAAAGACCAGCTGTATGTGAAATCAATAAAAACAAATCATACCATTTGGTGAATAATAACAAGGAAAGTGGCTGTCAAATAAAAGACAATGTGAGCAAGGGTGTTGGATATCTGATGCACACAGTCTTTAGTTTGAAGATGGGGACTTCACCAACTGACAGCAAAATAATTTGGAAGCAAACAATATCACAGGTGACATCATATACAATGTAACAGTACATCATAATACACTGTAACAGGACATCATAATACACTGTAACAGGACATCATAATATACTGTAACAGGACATCATAATACACTGTAACAAACAGGACATCATAATACACTGTAACAGGACATCATAATACACTGTAACAGGACATCATAATATACTGTAACAGGACATCATAATACACTGTAACAAACAGGACATCATAATACAATGTAACAGAACATCATAGTACACTGTAACAAACAGGACATCATAATACACTGTAACAAACAGGACATCATAATACACTGTAACAGAACATCATAGTACACTGTAACAGGACATCATTTACACTGTAACAGGGTTGTCAAGTACTAAATGTTAACATTTGTAAGGTGTTGAGATGAGGTGACATGTTTCTTCCTCACCAGTCCCCCCTTCCCCCCCCCCCCCCCCCAACAAATGATTAACCTTATCCTGCATCTCCTTTACAAGCCTGGGACAACTCCAGATTTTGAAAACATACAATAAAAGGTGAAGGACCCTTCTCTACACCTTCAGGCATTTAGGGCTAGACCTATATTTTATAGGCCAAACAGCACTTTGTGGGTGATGTGGGTAACATCACACTGGCCGTCTTTACTTCCCAGGACTTTCCCTGGTACCCATTTAAGGCTGGGTCAACCTGGAAGCCAAGGCCATTTAAAAAAATAAAAAACATCCGGCTCTGTTTTGATTCGAATCCACAACACTCAGGGCCACAGTTGTAGCATCTAGCCGCTACAACACAGTGTCTCCCAGATTATGAATAGTCAGAGACAAACAATGCAACATAGGGTTTCAATGTAGACCACTTCAGAGTAAGCAATAACAAGATATTAATTATTATCATATTATTTAGATAGATATGCAAACTGCTTATGAAAACAAAAAACATCTTGGGCTTTTTGTTTTTTGAATAATTTTTTAAAAATATATATATATATTATTCATAATTAAACTGGAAAAACAAATTATATAATGGATTATTACAAAAAAAAATGCATAAAATTTCAAAACTGCTTTAACCCCCCCCCCCTCCCAATTTATAGTTCCTTGCGCTCCCTAGGTTGAGATCATTGGTCTAGAGCCATATGTCATCTGATGTGCTAATGGTGTGAAAAGGATCTTTTGCTACTACTCGACTTATTACTAAGAAGATGATGAACAACTCCACGTAAATGAAACTGTCTTCAACCCAACAATCCACAAGTCACTTCAAACACAAAAGTCAACAGGCATTAACCATATCCTTTTTATGCTGCAGCTGAAATCACTTTGTTATTACATGAAACAATAAGGAGAACGGCTAAATGTACATACCTTTCATAGAATGAGAATCACCAAATGTACACACCTTTCATGGAATGAGAACCACCAAATTTACAAACCGCATATGGAATGAGAACCACCAAATGTACACACCTTTCATGGAATGAGAACCTCCAAATGTACACACCTTTCATGGAATGAGAACCACCAAATGTACACACCTTTCATGGAATGAGAACCACTAAATGTACACACCTTTCTTGGAATGAGAACCACCAAATGTACACACCTTTCATGGAATGAGAATCACAAAATGTACACACCGCACATGGAATGAGAACCACCAAATGTACACACCACACATGGAATGAGAACCACCAAATGTACACACCACACATGGAATGAGAACCACCTAATGTACACACCTTTCATGGAATGAGAACCACCAAATGTAGACACCTTTCATGGAATGAGAACCACCAAATGTACACACCTTTCATGGAATGAGAATCACCAAATGTACACACCTTTCATGGAATGAGAATACCCAAATGTACACACCTTTCATGGAATGAGAATCACCAAATGTACACACCTTTCATGGAATGAGAATCACCAAATGTACACACCTTTCATGGAATGAGAATACCCAAATGTACACACTGCACATGGAATGAGAACCATAAAATGTACACACCTCACATGGAACGATAATGGAAACTACTGAATGTATGCACTGTAACACTAACTGTGTTACTTACCCTTGAGCTTCTGGTTGCCTTAGGATCAAGGTAAGTCTTCAGTTTATCCAGGTACACATGAGGTGGGTCTTTGGCATGCACACGTTCCTGAAACATGCACAGTTCATGTTTATGATTCCTACAGCAGCACAACTACAAAACATATTAACAGACTCCACTCAGAATGTGAAATTATAATATGAAGATCAGCGTGGACAAAACAGAAGTGATGACATTTCCCAGAAAAGAAAGAACCACCAATATCAAAACTGATGGCACCAGTTAAAACAAAGGATTCTACATATCTGGGGAGCATTTTCTTTCAGAAGACGGGAAAATGAATTTAAAAATCCAGTAAATATGCAATAAAGCCAATTAAGTTTTATGCCAAATGGCAACGATTCTGAGATGCAAGTATGTGAATATGAACACTAAAATAACACTGTTCAACACAATATTCTTACCAGCGCTACAGATCAATGTCAAACATGGACACTGTCTTCAGAAGACAGAAGGAAAATAGTCATGACAGAAATGAAATGATTACGTACTCTGCTGGGTGTAACGAGGAAGGATCGACTTAGGATAGATGATTTCAGGATAAGAGTTGGCACAGGACCAATACTGAACTATGGGTAGACAAAAAAAATCAATGGTCTGGCCATGTGAAAAGACTAGTATCAGACAGGGCACTACAGAGAGCAATGTTACACAGATACAGCGATAACAGAGCCTGAGGTCAACCATGCTGAAGATGGACCACAGAAATATCAGAGACACTGAAAAGTATTTTAAACAAAGCGAAAAGAAGGGTCCATTCCAGAGATCTCTTTCTCTCCTAATGCCACCACACATTCCACGAGTAGAGAAAAGAAGGGTCAATTCCAGAGAACTCTTCCTGTCCTAATGCCACCAAGCATTCCACGAGTAGAGAAAAGAAGGGTCCATTCCAGAGAACTCTTCCTGTCCTAATGCCACCAAGCATTCCACGAGTAGAGAAAAGAAGGGTCCATTCCAGAGAACTCTTCCTGTCCTAATGCCACCAAGCATTCCACGAGTAGAGAAAAGAAGGGTCCATTCCAGAGATCTCTTCCTGTCCTAATGCCACCAAGCATTCCACGAGTAGAGAAAAGAAGAAATATCAGAAGGTTTGTTAGGAGATCCTAAGGTAAGAGAAGGAAGTGATTTCTATGAAAAAAAATCAGGTGTGATTTGTTTTTAAAGAGGCCAAATAGATAATGAAGTACCCGTAGGAGAAACCAGATTTTCTTAGTACGTAGTGACCAAAAATAAGAGATAAAAGAGTGAGGTAATGGTTGGAATTTTGGTGGAAAATGTCAATGATACCTCATGCGTTTCATGAGACTAAAAGAGTTAAATGTTAAAGAGTGGATTTACAGGACACTAAAAAAGTATCAAGGTGAATGGAGAAATGGAGAGGTAAATTTTCTTACAAAGTACAAGCTTAAGTCAAAGATTGACTCTGTTGCATCATGTCTTATCCTCTATGGCTTGGTCTCTCTGTAAAACTGCTGCCACCCGGCGATAGTGTCGCACAAAGCAGGAACTCCATAGCTCAATAAGAGATCCCAGGCATCTTTGTAAAAGTTGCACCGGTAAACATAACGATGGAGCCAATGAAACGAATCTATGACCTTCAAAGTGGAAGACAAACAGACTAAACATTTTGACCTGGAGAAACTCCATCCAGAGTAAAAATACCACAAGCTGAAAAAGGGGGGGGGGGTGTGGTATTAGAATAAGAAGCCATAAGAATGGAAATGGAGTTAGAAACTGAGTGAAAATAAGTACAGTATAGGAGAAAGTATAATTTCCCATTATTAATTTTTTTTGAAGGGATATGTAAAACCAGGGTATGGGCATGGCCAGCCTATAAACAGCAACAGAGGTTATTTAAAGGGAAAAAAGAAACAATGTCAGCATTAAAGTCTAGAAGATCCACCTCACTGCTCCGGGTTTCATCCCATTTGACTCAGTCTCCACAGAATGGCTTTACGCCAACCAAGAGTGATGCAAAAAGCACGATGGAGATGCTTCCCAGAGGACTTTGTAAAAGTTGCACCCGTGAACCAAACCACGAAGTCCTGAAACAAACCTACACCTTCAGAGCGTTAGGCAAATGGCTTGACCTCTTCACCACTGAGACCTCCACAATAATGTACGTATCCATGGAAATGAATTCTCTGTATGTATTGTATGTCTGACCAGTCACATTATATGGTTATGATATACTGACGGTGCTAATATTAGTGGCTGTCAGTGTGGTTTTACTCCCATCAATTTAGCAACAGGTCGTGCTGTTGTAGCCTATCTGAGTTATCTTTCCATGCTACTCTTGATCTACCTCATGTTCTACGTCCCTCTCCTTTTTTGGTGTATGCCTGTATGGGTGTGTCACAAGTTAAGAGGATCAGCGTCACAGCACTGGGTTTTACTACGTATGACTTGGTTGAATGTTGAATTAAGAATCGACATCACAGCAATCGGGACACTCCCATAAGTAATCTGTCCCCCATATTCAGTAGTAAGCGTTTCATTTCCAATGGCATCAGTAACTGTCTGATTGTATATCAGCCTGGCCCTTCCTTTGAGTGTTGAACGTTGGCCAGATCCCTTGGTAAGTACTCACAGCGCCATTCTCCTCAGACCGCAATGATCCATTTGTGCCTCTGCACTGTTCGCTAGCTTCTAAAGGGCCCTCACAATATCCAGATTGTGACACACCAATTCACCACCAAGTGGTGCAGAACTGGCCAGTCTATCTGCCTGCTCGCTTTCCAACACACCGGTAAAATCCGGGAGAAAAATTACAAAACGTGCTAACTACCTCTGAAGCAATGCTTGCCACTCTGCATGCCTGTCTTCATCTTTTTCAACATGTGCTGAGTTAGTTACAATTACTACATGTGTGTGTAGCTGATTCTCAATAGTGACTGCTTGGTCTCTCTCTCGGCATAACAATTCACAGGAAGTGATCTGCACTTTCCCGTAGGCATATCAGCCCACTGCCACCTAGCCCGTATGTCCAGAAAAGTAACAGGGATTTACAAAAGTGAAATTTGTTGTCTGTTGTTTTAAAGCCTAGCTGTCAAACACAGCAGAAAGAAGAAACAGATCAGCAGTAATCTCTATTTCCTTCCACTTGTATTAGTAGATATCTTTTAAGTATCGGAATAACCTAATAATTGTCCTAAGTTTGGGGAAATAAATCAGCTCAAGAAAATCTTCAGCATTATAAGCCCCTTAGGTTCCATGCTGCAAATATCATCCGCCTTCCTTCGTTTATGCAACATTCTTTCTCTTTCCGGTTGGTAACTACAGCTCTGCCTGTGTATCTGCTATATATTCTTTTCAGGGTATTTTTGGTCTGCCTTGTGAGTCTACTCCCAATCCAACTCTTGTGTAAACAGTTTTTGTATCTTTGTTATCTGTTAAACTCTCTTTATGTCCCAAACGTCGAAGCTGACAGCTATGCCAGCGGGAACGTAACTACTAGGACCCCCTTCTCTTTCCAATTGGTAAAAGGGCAGAGAACAAATAGATACACACTCATCTTCCAGGCTGGGGGTTGCAGCATGAGGCTAACACTCACATCTTTGCAAAACTTCCCAACAAAACAGATACCTAAAGCTTAAAACTCCAGAAAAAAACATGCATAAATAATTTGCACACTTACCTGGTCACAAATAAGGTCCCATTTTCTCTCATCATCATAACTTTTTAGAACTTTGGCTTTGTCAGGAGGCAAGTCCATAGAAGTCTGCAATCATTCACAAAATTTCAGATTAGCATAATCACACAAAATTTAAGGGGTGGGGTGGCTTAGGCTTACAATCTCCACCTCTGGCTCGGGCAGTTCTGAGTTTTACACTTTAACATTTTTCTATATTGAAAAAAAAAAAAACCAGAACAAAAATTGATTATATACTAATCATTCATACTGATGAGACATCTAGCTTTCTCAACTATCATATGTGATTCTGGTTTACACATATTTTCAAGTCTAAAGAGAGGCTCTCAACTTTATTGTACCTTATTTTATTCCATATGGCTGGCTCTTTCTCACTTTATTTCTCTCAACCTCTCTCTCTCTGGAGAAGAGCAAGACAACTGCCAAGAGTGTCACACAAAGCAATAATTAAAAGCTGCATTGTGAACTGAAAAATACAGCCTACGAAACAAAAACCACAACCTTCACAGCATAACCACTCAGCCACAGAGACATTTTGCACTCAGCCGGTGCTACAGAATCCACAGGGCTGTGCTGAATGTGATCTATGGCACCTATGTGAATAGCTTCCCACATTTTTCCCCCATCATCCCACACAGTCTTTCTGACCTCAACCCCTTCTCCTAATTCTAGCAAAGAAATAAATTATGTCTTCCTTGATAATACATATACAAAGCAACGGCTTACTATTATTCTAAGTTAAGAAAGACATCAACATGACTGTATTATTAAGGTAGGCTGGTATCACTGTTTATTCCATTTGAAGTCACATGAAGTTACTGCAATGATATTTAAAACATGCCACTTTCAATAGAGAGCTTACCCTAATTATTGGGGAGCTCAAGGGACCTGATCTCCCAGGTTCCGGCACCTATGAACTAGAGCTTATGGAGATACCCATGTGTAATGGAAGCCATCCTTAGCCAAAATTAAATTAAGCTGAAATACATAATAGCTTGAGTACAACCCAGTGCAATGAAGTTGATCCTCTCACCTTTACTTGCTTCAGACTTAGAGTAACATGTCAGGCTACAGCATTTCTCAAATACATTTCAATTTATACAGTAAAAGTTTTCACACTCAAGACTTTCATTGATTTTTGGTGCAATTCTTCTTTGGCAATCAGAGCATTAGTCATTAGTATGTTTACATATTTACACATGGCTGTGAAATGTGGTAAGTCGATGCAAACGCTTCGTAATGCCGGGTTTGATCTGAGCTTCAGGCCACGCGCCTTGCATTGGTTTCGACAGTGGTATCAAGAAAGCAATGGCAAACCACTGGACGTAAATTTGCCTAGAGAAACCACACAGCAGCCAGGGGCTGTTAGGGGTTGGTTCTGCAACGTTCTGTAAAGGATACGCAACTAACCAATGTTAAATGTGGAGCTTAACAGATGAACTCAAAAAGAAGATACAAGCACTGGAAATGAGATCTTGTAGACAAATTCTGGGCACATCATACAGAAACCACATTACAAATGGTGAGGTTTACTGTTTAATTAATTCCCCAGAACACTGGCAACTATAGACCTCTTTTAACTACAGTGAAAAGATGGAAAATGTAATGGTACGGAAAGGTAATAAAATATGATGGCCTCTCAGAAACAATACACTCAGTAGTGGTAAAGAGGTGGACCAAGAAAGATCTGGATACAGAAAACTGTCTACACAGGCATACAATCATGAAGTCCAATGCATCCGACCATCAAAGGTGAAAGAAGCTGATTAGACAGATAACAGCAACTGGTGATCCAATGACATGCAGTATTACGGGACGATGATGACAATGATATGCATCTAGTCTGGCAATGGGTCACATGAGGTCTCCACCTGTGCCTCATAAATTTGGTGGAATAAAACCTCTTGATGTCATATATGTTTATATGTTTTTTGTAAGTTGGGTAGACAGTTTTTGCGTGATATGGCTCCACTGCCACACACATACAAAGATTCAACTAACCAATCTTAAACTTGGATACACAAAATACTTTAATTTTTTTATTTTCTATATTGTTTGTGTTCTAAAAAGGGTGACCTGGTCTAGCCTTGAAAGTTGATGATCAGTATTACATCTTAAACTGTCAAAGTCTTTTGCCCATTTAAAAAAAAAAAAAAACAATTCAAAATAAAGTAAGCAAAGAAAAGTAAAGGAGCCTTTTCCACGTCTTCGGGCGTATTCAGCACACAGGGCTAGACCTATGTGTTACAGACCAATCGGCTCGTGGTGGGTGATGTAGTCAACATCACGCCAGTCACCCTTACTTCCCAGGATCTACCTGCTACCTACTCTAGACTGGGTCGACCTGGACGCCAAAGTCATCTTTTTTTAAAGTTAGGACCCGAACCCATGATGTTCCGATCTGCAAAGTGAGGGTCTAGCCACTACACCATGACTGTTCTCTGTTTTTAATAAAAGACAGTAGATAAGTTTTTGTTGTGTCACAGTTAAAAGTTAGTTGTGTATCCTTTACAGCACATTGCAGAACCAACCAAAGCAATTTTGGTCTTTTTGGTTTTACAAGGAAATTTCACATTCAGTAGTTTGCATAAGATAAAACAAGAATGAGCAAGAGAAACCCTGAAATGAATGCTGATGAGAGAAGCCAAAGATGCTGGACTGGATTCAGTTCATAATAGCAGTCAAAGCACATGATATTACAATAAAGATATAGACTGTGAGCCCTGTGTGACATATAATGGCACAACAGGAAATCAATGAAAGAAACTGGAGTGGGAAAGGCGGGGGAGCAGCAGATAACTTCAGGGATGTTACTGCCTCAGATGTTTGTAAAACCCACACCTTAGAAATACCACCATTTCCTAACTTTGTGAGATTCTCCTTACTTGTGTTTCCCTCCCAATCAAGAAAAAGAATCAGCTCAGACAAGCTGATTTCCCAACTTATTACCCCGATCTCACCATCACCTCATAAACTGTTTGTGCACCAAAAGGTTTTACAGGAAACGCACAAGAGTATAAATATAAATTAATACTATAAACCGCATTAGTGTACCGCATTCAAAGAAGTTTATTACTGGGGAAGCCAGATTTTTTAATTTCCTCAGATCAAATGCAAAAAGTATGAGAACACATTACTTGGTGAGTGGGTGTCACAGCTAAGCTAATCACGCATGACAAATTAACTAGAAGTAGAAGTTAAAGAGTTTATTGCTTTGCAACAATAATATAAAAATAATTAGGCGGGGTTCTGGAAGATATTCAACATTTGAGAGGAAACAAAGGCGGACTTTTAATCGGGGTACAACTGGTACTATTAGCTTGTCAACTCTTTGTTGTTTACTGAAGAAGGGAATGGAGCATGGTGGGAACGTCCTGAGTGCAATGATATCAATTCTTGATTCATTCATTCAGTAAAATACAAATTACCTACTACAAAAGGATGCAAACACAATCTAAATACTAAATTGTAAACAGTGACACAGACTATTTAGTTGAGTGTACAATGTATTTATTATGACAGTGCTAGTCAACACTAGAAATCATGAAGTACATGTCAGGTTTACACAATTGCAAAAAAACAATAAATAAAGGATATTACAGGGACAAACCCTCCTCAGTAAACAACCAGAAATGCAACACTGTGATATACTCTCAGTCGTAGACTGTGGTCTATAATTGTAACAAGAAGATGGAGTAGTAGTAGTAGTAGAAAAAGTATTGGTAGGCTTAACTAACAACCAGTGACTTCACTGACCACAGCTCAACTGTAAAGTCTATGACTTTTACTATTTTGACTTCAGCACCAGTTGTAGTATAGTAGTAGTAGTAGTAGCAGCAGCAGTAATAGTAGTAGTAGTAGTAGCAGCAGTAGTAGTAATAGTAGTACCTGGTAGCAGCAGCAGAAGTAGCAAAAGCAGCAGTAGGTAGCAGCAGTAGTAGAAACAGCAGTAGTAGTAGTTTTCTAGTAGCAGAAGTGACAACAGCAGCAGTAGTAACAGCAGCAGTCTATACTCTAAAGCCGAGACTGAGTCTGGTGTAGCGCACTGAACTGTAGCAGCCGTAAAACGAAATAACCAGTCATCACTAGGGGCTTTGTTCTGTCACTGATTTCAAACTGCCATAGTTATACGTTATATAGTACAAACGTAGGTAAGAAAACAAAGTCCGATATTTTCGATAACCATAACTGCGAATCTGCAGACTTAATATATGAGCTGATATATCATACAATATACTGACCAGCACTTTGGTAAACCTCCTCTCCAGTTCATTTCCATCTGGCATAGGTAGCCGTGGTACCGGAACCGATGGTTTTCTCTGCAACTCCAGCCCTGCTCCCCGACTATCGTAACGGTTGTGTCCATGGTCGAGGTGGCGGCTGTCCAAATTCCCCATCATGTACATTTATAATGGTAATCCGAAGACAACTTGACAGTGTATATAATCAAAGAACGTACAGTTTCACATTATCGGGGCCCGGAAAAAACTTTTCGGCGTCTGGTCATCCTTGAAATGTAAAACAATCACAAATGAGAAAGCGGAAATGGGAATGACAAACCCGCTTGCCAGGTGCTAGCAATGCTTTCATTCCGACACAGGATATTTTTTTTTCTTCAAGTTGCCAGTGCAATGCAGAGCGAACTTGATAGCATCTCCTCCTGGTATGAGGACTCCAGTGCACATGTGAACCCATCAGAAGCTTCAATAACATGGTTCTCCTTGAACCGCTTATGGTTACGACCTACCAGTGGTGGAAACTAATGGCGAAACTTTGACGAGAACACACTCGAAGACATATCTGGGTGGGAAGTTTGATAACAGTCTGTCCTTCAAAGACCACGTCGTAAAGGCTTTTCAGCAATGACCACCGCCAACATCGAGCAGAGACTGCTTCTGCTACTGTCACAGGGACTGGTTCTTTCTCCAATCGAATATGCTTTAGCCTACTCACCGTCAGCGATACTCACGTTGAAAGACTGGAAAAGGTGCAAAATGAAGCCATGCGCATTATTCTGGGGTGCACAAGAGACACCTCTTGCGTAGCAATGAGATATCTTCTTGACTTTCCGACAATGCACCATAGGATGAAGATCTGGAGGACTCGTGCATACCTGAAGATATGCTCGGATTTGAACCACCTTCTGCACAATGCTCTCTTTAGGAAAAAGGCGACAGGCTAAAAAGAGGACAATTATGGCTCGGTAGGGCAAAGGGCGATGTCATACAGCCTTTGCCTTTGAAAATAAAAATAAAAACCAAAAACTTAGACAGCTTCCACCTGCCTCAGGGGCTTGGTTTTAATTGCGTCCTGGTTTCTTTGCGGTTTCGTTTCGTGTTGGTGACGTGTCGTTACGCCTAATTTCTTGCATGTTTCTGCCGTGCTGCTTGGGAGTGGATGTCTACTAGTCCTGATAAGGACTAGTAGAGTTTGCCTGGGGCGGCCTCGAACGGGTGGGAGGGAGTGAGTTTGGTGGTCGACATCATGCCTGGTTTAGCTGTGGGTTCTTCGTGTCGGTGGGCTGGTCTGGTGGGCTGTCATGGCGGCTTGGCTGGTTTTGATTGGTTGCTGGTTTCTGCTAGGTTTGTCTGCTTGGGTCGCCTCTGGATTGCGTCCGTTTTTTGTTTGCCGGTTAGGAGTGAGAAGGTTGCTCTGTTTGGAGATGGATTGGTTCAATCCCTGTTTGGGTGCGACTCTCGCACTCATGATTGGATGGGCTCTTGACATTTCTTTGAGTAAACATCTCTGGTGCTCCCTGTGTCTCTCGAAACGGTGCGGGTTTCTCACTTTTGGGGAGAAGATGTCAGTTACAGGATCGTAGTGATTGACTTTCCACCCGGCGGATCCGGCCCACTCTCCTCTACTTGGATTAATATGACAATTCATGCAGCTCACCAGTTCGTCCATGTACTCTTGTGTCATTTCGTCGTCGGGCCCATATTTATAAACTCCTCAATAGTTAGCGTTGCCTCTTCAGGGTCTTCGTCCTCTGACTCAGTTATTTGATCTTGCATGTCTGTCGGGTGTAGCTGGGTCTCAATGAGATCTTTAATTTCTCTAACTGCCTCCTTCATGATTTCTTGTATATTTGTCTCTTGTTCGGACCTTTCTTTCAGCCGGGATCTCTCCATGTTGACTGCTATCGTTGCGGCGTCTGCTTCAGCTTTCACCTCTAGCAGCCGAGTGATATTTTGTTATGTAGTTTCGCGGGCTTCTTTGAGAGCGGCAACCTCTCTCTGGTGTTCCTCTCTTTCTGCTTGACGCCGAGCTACCTCCTGGACTTGTGCTGTATTAATCTGCGCAATTAGATCTTGCATTTTTATAGTCGCCTCAATTATTTCAGCTAGTGTTTTCGTGTGATTGGCCGCTTTTGCCTGTTTGTCTGCTCTCTGGGCTTTTAGTTCGTCCAATGTTTGGGAGATGAAGCCTAGCATCTCAATCCTGTCCGAGGTGGCTTCATCTCTGTTTACTTTCTGTCTGTTGATCGTGCGGATTTCGTTCCGGATTTCGGTCAGTTGTTGCGCTATTTCGCCGTCTTTAGCGGCTCGGCTAGCTGTGTGTTTTGGTCTTGCTGTTCTTGGCTGAGTGGGTCGCCTTTTGCAGTCTTTCAGGTAGGGGCAGCCCTGGTACCTGGCGCTGTGTGTCCCTGAACAGTTAGAGCACCTTCTGTTCGTGTTAGGCTTCCTAAAATCTTGATCAACTTTGCCCAGGGGGCACTCTTTGAAGTAGTGCGTCCCTGCACAGTAGCGACAAATGGGCCCGCTACGACAGCTCGCGGCAGTGTGCCACGTCCTATTGCACCGAGCACACTGTGGGATGTCAAAAGAGTAGTTACCCTGCTGCTGAGTCCTCCCTTGCGTGTTTGAGATCGTCAGTGGCCTCGTGAATGACTGGGCCGCTGGAGCGTCGGTGGCACTGGATGTTGATGGCTGGGGTGGATTCTCGGCCTCAGAGGTAATGGTAGTTGATGCTGCGGCATTAGCTTCTGACGTCGGGCTGATCGGTCTTTGGGTGATCATCTCCTGGCTCTAGTCGTCTTTGGCTGCGGTTTCTATTACTGCCGGGTCTGGCTTCCTTGGTGAGGCGGCCTTCGCAGGTTTCTTGGCTTTTCCCATCTTGTCAGGCGGGTGAATAGGCGGTACCTATCAGGTGTCTACCGAAAGCTAGATCCCTTCGGAGTCGGCAAGGCTTGTTAAGTGCTCTGAAAAGAACACCAAGGGTGTTCTCCTTAGTTCTCTAGACAATCGTTCTACAAATTGATGCTACAACTGGCTGTGTCTTCAACAATGGTGTGTTCACGGGCTGCTAATAACCCAAACACAGACGACCCCGATAGCGTAGTCGAGACAACCTCAGCCGAATATCAAGCGAGTAATTGACCAGTATCTAGCTATCGAGAATCAGGCTACGAATGGGTAGTTAGCGGGCGACGAGTCGAGACACAAGTGGCTGTTGATGTATGTTGGATGACACAGGTCTGCAGTCTTACAGATATCAACCTCGGCGAAGAATGGATACCTGTGCCCCAGGTGCTCAACTGTACCTTTTCGCGAGTTGACATGCTTGACGGGAGCTGTCGGGAGCATAGTCCAGTTGCTGTCAATGCAATGTGAAAATGCAGATGAGTCGGATGTACTGATCTACACAGGAGGCCAGTGGTATGACAACTAGCAGCATGACAATAGAGGTGATAACGGTAACACGAGCTTTCATTGGTCTAGCATCGCAGGGTTAGACTCACCTGTGTGTGCAGAGTGATTCCGTGAGCATGATTCGGTGGGTCGAAGCGAGCTTTGTACACAGACAGTGGATCGAGTCATTGTAAAACTACACTGTACGTGGAGTTACCTTCATCTTTGTACCAGGGCATGCGGGTGTTGTTGGCAATGAAAGAGCCGACAGATTAGCCGGCTCTGCCTTAGTTACAGAGAGCCGGCCCATGGATCATGCCGACATTGCTAACGCCAATAGAAGGATAGGGTGTTCGGAGGATTTTGGGAGCAACACTTTATAATTTTTGCGAAAAGTGCAAGAACTGAGAATAAAGATCGGTACAGCCAAGCACGAGAAGCATACCGGAAGCACGAGAAGTCTTGTCAACCAACATAGGACTAGACTATTGCCGCAGAACGCTGATGTTGTATGTTAAAGGGGAAATCTGATCACCTATGGACGTGTTCGGAGAAGATAACCCAAATAATAACTCATGCACACACAGACACACGTAGCCACACACACACACACACACACACTTAAAGACACACGCACAGCCACACACATAGACAGACAGACAGACAGACAGACAGACAGACAGACAGACAGACAGACAGACAGACAGACAGACAGACAGACAGACAGACAGACAGACAGACAGACAGACAGACAGACAGATAGACAGACAGACAGGCAGGCAGATAGACAGACAGACAGGCAGGCAGATAGATAGATAGATAGATAGATAGATAGATAGATAGATAGATAGATAGATAGATAGATAGATAGATAGATAGATAGATAGATAGATAGATAGATAGATAGATAGATAGATAGATAGATAGATAGATAGATAGATAGATAGATAGATAGATAGATAGATAGATAGATAGATAGATAGATAGATAGATAGATAGATAGATAGATAGATAGATAGATAGATAGATAGATAGATAGATAGATAGATAGATAGATAGATAGATAGATAGATAGATAGATAGATAGATAGATAGATAGATAGATAGATAGAGATAGATAGATAGATAGATAGATAGATAGATAGATAGATAGATAGATAGATAGATAGATAGATAGATAGATAGATAGATAGATAGATAGATAGATAGATAGATAGATAGATAGATAGATAGATAGATAGATAGATAGATAGAGAGAGAGAGAGAAACAGACAGAGATTGTTTTTACGGGATATAATTCCAGTGACTCGATTATCAAGCTTTTTCAGAGTTGCCTACCCCTAAATCTAGATTGCGGAAAAAGACTAGAATGAGAGTTGCATATCCTTTACATTAGACACGGCGTTGAAAAGCAGTTTCGGTATTTTCTGGCTTGTTAGGGTTTTACAAGACCGTTATGCAAACAACTAAACGTAGAGTTGAGTTAAGTTGATTCAAGAACCGACATCACAGCATTTGGGGCATTCCCATGAGCGCTCCGTCCACATCTTCAGCAGCCAGCGAAGAGTTCCGATACTAATGGTGCCAGTAGCATTCTGATTAAACGTTATTCTTGCCTTTCCTCTGAGCCTCGAGCATCTGCCAGAACCTCTCGTCTCTCCCCCCTGCATCAATCTCACCAGACTGGTGATCAATCTGCTCCTCCGAACTGTACACGCTCTCCCACAAGGCACTAACCACGTTTGCCTTATCATGTATCAGTATTCCACCATGTT